TTTTTTCCTTCATGTCTGGTCAATTTCTGGTGTGCGTGAAAGGAAAAGAGAACAGAAAAGAAAGAGCAAAGACAAGAAAAGCCACGTTCCTGTAGGATCCCACGGCTGCGCATTATTAGCCAACCAAAGACAGTAGGCGTGCTAGCTAGGAGGGGAGGCGGTGGCGCTACTATTATCGCCCCCCGCCCAGGTCGCGCTGATCGGATTCGAAAGTCTGGCTGAAAAAATTTGCTGTTTCGAGAAAAAGAACAAGTTTGAGTCACCTGGATATTTGTCCACAGAATTATGACTGAAGGTTACAACATAGGCGATGAGGAAAGCGGATAGCAACTGAGAAACGGCAAAATACATTATACGAACACCCATCGAAGGAAGCAGGTAGAGTTGAAGTAGAACCCAAGCCCAGTGGGCCATTAGCAATGTCTGAAACATTTGGTGAGAAATTCGTAAACGAATGATTCACTATTTCAATAACCATTGGTATTCTATTAGGTTGGACGGAAAGTCCTGCGACACTTTGATTGAATTGTTCTAGAAAAAGACCAAAAAACATTTCGAATGTTTTCATCCCTGATTAGTGGAGACTGTCCTCTGGGGTTTCTGCACATGGGTATATCATGACTTTGAGGAAGTTTTCAAAGCTTAAAAGTCCCTCAGAGATCGAGGTACTTTTCGACCTGTATTATGAGTTCCTGTAGGGCCACTCAGCCGTAATCGAGGAAGCTAATACCTGCATTGTGTTAAGGAAGTGTTTGCCATGACAGAGAGTAGCACTTTGCACCAGCGCTTCCAAGCTGGAGTTATTTAATTCGGAAGTAGGCAATGTATAGGTCGGCCACCAGCACAGAATGACGGCCCTTTACTCAAGCTTCTTGAGGCGCAGCCGAACGTAACCACCAGTAAGTTGGCAACCTCTCTAGGCTCCACCTAAGACAACTGCCATGCTTCTCCGCAATCTCGGTTATCGGAAAAATTTTTTGTGAAGGATGCCTCATGAGTTGGACCCGTCTGACAAGTCATACCGAATGACCGTGACTGGAAGATCATTCACCGATAACTGTGACTCTTTTCCTTTTCTTTTGCTTGTACACATTGGAAGAATATCTGCGAGATCCTGTTGTTCGTAGCGAGCGGTGAAGTCCTTGCGTAAACTGTGCAGCACATCCCTCGCGGATCGCTGGAGGAGAAAGGAGATTTGATTAGCCAAAAGCAATGCTGCATGAATAAAATATTTTAGTTTATTTTTTTTTATATTGGATGGTGACTTCAGAGAGCGATTCGCTGGATACGGGCACAGCAATGACGCACAGTCCACACGACGAATCGGTTTTGAAATATGGATGAGGTTCTCACACATGAATTTTGGAGGACACTCAATTTTTCTATACCATCTCGGCCATGCTGGGGATTCAGGCTACGCCAAAAGCGGAAAAAAATTCCCCCCCAATGTAGATCTCGATCAAAAGAATGAGACTCTCTGTTTTATCATTAGTTGCTGTAGTTTTATGGAATGGAATAGAATAGCTGCTGCGAATTGATTGTGGATGGTCCTAGTCACTCATACTGCGGTTACCTTCCGTAGATTCGGAGCTGTCTCTCAGTGAGGGAAAAATCTGGTCAAAAGAGTTGTCGCAACTTTCCCGTCCCAACACTAATAGAAACGGCCTCAACCCCAACAACATTTTTAGCTTTTTTCCTTTACCCGAGCATGGATGATAAAGCGACACACCGATAGAGATTCAAAAATTTCAAATCTTCCCTTCACAAAAAAATCATACTTCTCTGACTACGCCCCTACTGATTTCCGCGATCGAAACTGAGTGGAGTGGACGGGGAACAACAGGCGCCAGTCTCCCTACTGTCACTAGGTTTCAAGCGGGATCCGTTGCCGCCGTCCAACCTGAAGCTTCCCCATTCCATCCTGGATAGGGCTACTTGGCCTTCATAGCATGAAAACAATACTCGTACACTCGACTTGGCCCACACAAAGATGCTTTGCATCAGCGCGACAATCGCATTCGTCAATGATTCCGACGGGAGTAGAAGCGTGCCAACACCTCGCTATAAAGCGCGAAAAGAAAAGAAGCTCTGTCCTCTCCATGTTTGTGTCTCTTGTTGAACCGCTCTGATGTTGCGAGACCATTTCCTCCAGACAAGTCCGGCACCAAAAGCTGAGGGCAGAAGGAAGGCCACGGGAAAGCGATCTAGGATTCGATCCCAGACTGCGCACGCTGTGAACGAACGCCTTCAGCTCCTTCACCACCTCTGCCAAGAGAATGGATTACTGAGTTTTGCATGGATTTTTCGCGCCTGAAGAGGCAATGGGAGTGCTCACTAATGATGATCTATGAGCTATTAATGATTTACCTGCTCCATGAGCGCATTCCTTCTGTATACACGAAATTCACTGGAATTCTCTGCAAAAACCCATATCAAAGACTGAGTTGTCCATGAAAATCGAAGAAGGGGCATTGTAAGTGTATAGTACAGATGTTGATAAGGAATGAACTGAAAATGAGTTCTTATAGATGAAGTTCCGCATGAAATTAGCGAATTTGGTCGCTCCTTTTTGACATATTGTATGTGAGACCAGATAGACTCCTCTCAGAAAAATATCAAATGCTCACCTTGAGAATGAATTTCTGGACGGGGACCTTGAACCGGGTCAGATCCCCAGGTATAAGGGCAACCAGCGGCATCAGGTCGATGTCTCCGTCATGATCGATCATATTCGTTGCAGCATGATGAGTGTTATGCTGAAACTCTCGAATTGAACCGCACAACTCCTTTTGCTGATTCCTGTCGCAGCAACGATCAAGTGAACGTTTCGAATGCCCTCTATGATATGGGATTACTTCATAAGATAGCGAACAGCACGAACTCAGGGAACAGGGCACTGTGATTGCACGCCGAAAACCTCAAGGAGGCCCTATATGCCTCTATATGCCTTGACGGGGCTGATCCGCAACAGTGCTTAGTCACATGTTCCTGACGACAAGCACATGACCTTTTCTTGATGGAACAAAACACCGAATGAGCTTGAGCTGCGTCATGTTCTGACGCTCACTGAGTCATGTCAGAAGGTCATTCTTTCTCGGTGAGATGGTGTAGACGAGCAAATATGACGTGGCTCAGACTCGCCTACAAGGAGGTAAGGAGCGACTCTGGAACCCAATTCTAGAAGGGGTAAGTTTGTTTCCGTATTCTTTAGATAAAATTGCACTCTTGCCTCATTTGTCTACCATAGATGTATCAGAGCGTGCCATATGGCCTCTCATCTGCTGACTTTCATCGATGACAGTGATTGCGCCTTACTTGTTTTGCATCTTATGAGGTTGTGAGGCGAACAACTCTCCGATATGACCCAGCATTTTACTAAACTGTTCGGCGTTTTTGGAGGCCTTAAAACAAGTACTGCAAGTGCTAAAGCGCGATCTGCCCCATATCGCCTCGTGAACTGTGACTGCACGTTCACAATTTGTGATCCGATCGCGCGAGTAATCCGATCGCTTGCACGTTCGAGACCATCACACGATCGGGGGCTTCGCTTCTGTGTCCGTACAGCTGATTTCGCCACCGTGCCCGAGTTAGAAATAGAGCGTAGTTAAATCAAGGACTCGAACTCCCTTCAAATCCACCTGAAAACACGGCCATTCTCCCCTCTATTCGACTAAGTGGATTAGGACGGTGAGGTATGCCGTCGAAGCAACGGTCCCTACCACAACATACCTCATGCCCACACTTATGATGATGTCGGAGATAATTCTTCTGTCTGAACCTGAACTCACAAACCTTCTTCCAAGTCTCGAATTGTTCGACCGGGTGTATCGAACGCACGGCAAAAGTTTTGGGGTAATCTTCAAATGCAATAAATTGTTTCACAGCACTCACACGTTTAACTTGGTGAGCCGGTCAGCCGTAATCGTTAGATATCGGCATGGAACCGGCCGAAGGCTTTACAAGTTTTTGAAGCTGTTTTGTTATGATAACTGCTGTTTAACGCCGCAGTACGCGTTCCGAATGTTATCACAAGAATGCTGAGTTGTGGGCAAAAGTCGTGCCCCAGGCGGGAGTCGAACCCGCACCTCACGCTTTCCGGGCGAGTGCGCTATCCGTTACGCCACCAGGGCCGCTTTTACCCTCCCAGCAATAAATTGTGATGGCTGCGCAAACGATCTCTCTCCCCACCTCTTCTCATCGTTCATGAAATCGGTAGCATGGAATTGAGGGAAGGAGGGCTAGAAGGGCTATTCAGATTGCTCTACAGTGGCTGCAATGATCTGCATTCCCAATTTCTTCTGTGCTCTCACAGAGTGAAGAAATAACCAAAACTGGTCCCCAGAAAGCATAAGTTGATCAAGCTCGGACAAGCAATCAAAGGAGTTTATTTTGGAAAGTCCATACCTTATCTTTCCACCAATCAGCAGAGAAGCCTTGTGCGAGGTTCCCGAAAACCACCGCTATAAGGTTGTTGAATTTCCTATTTTTTGACAACTGATGATGGGCACACTCATGCGTCAGCCAGCCAAACTGTTGCCATGAGACAGCAAGTGACAGCGCAGAGGTGAAGTACCTAGAATAGGGAAACGATAGGATATCAGTAAGCTATTGCTTTTTCGAATTTCAAAATAGTAAACACAATTTCGCTTCATTGCGAACATTAGGTTTGAGCTGACATTCTAGAAGTTTTATTTATTTCTGCTCACAATGAGATGACCCACTGACAATGGGCTAGTTTAAATGCATTCTGCCGAACATTTCGTCGTGCGAGCATAGAAGATCCACCTTCTCAGAGAACTAAGGGCGAAATGTGTGGGGCTAGCCAGCCTTCTTTGGGTTGCGCCCTACACTGGGCCTGCATTCAGATTTGCGGACGGAGCTGCGGGGCTTGAATACAATTTCGCCTACAGAATGGCCTGCGTAATTAAGCCCTTGCCTAACCAGGCTAAGCTTACCATGGAACTTTGAATGGAGACCTGGGTAGATCGATAGATTCTGATGAGAGTCTGTAAGGTTATTTACAAATATAGATAGCAAAACTGCAACCTGCATTTCACAAGCAACTTATGAGCAGGTAAAGTTTGTAATGGTGCAGTAGGGTGGAGGCTTGGTGGTGAGCTGTGAAGCATAAGCGAGGAATCGCATACGTCGACCGTTTACCTGCTCATAAGTTGCTTGTGAAATGCAGGTTGCAGTTTTGCTATCTGTATTTGTAAATAACCTTATAGACTCTATCGATCTACCCAGGTCCCATTCAAAGTTCCATGGTAAGTACCCAGGCCCCATTCAAAGTTCCATGGTAAGTTGACGGACTTCCCCGGTAAGAAGCGTTACGTATTCCCGAAAAAAGTATAGAACCCATTCGCCGACCTCGTGTGATGAAAGCTTAGTTAGCCTGAGCACCACTAAGTCCATGCTTGTCCCTCGCACCTGGTGAGCAGCGAAACTTGCACTCGCACTCCTGCATCCCCCACAGTGTATACATCCGAAGAAAACAGATTTGCTGACTCCATTACCAAGAATTTCGTGCGCACCTAAACTGGGCACAAAGCGCCTTCCCTAACGCGGTCTTCTCAGTAAACAGATAGCCCTCCCCAGTCATGCCTACATGGCACTGTGTAGACTTACCATATTCAAATGGATTCTAGACAAGTGCCCAGCACAGTACACCCCGGGATGGCAACGCCCGTCTCTGGAAGCTCCGCCTTTGAAGTAGGAATCTGAGCCCTCAGTGGTAACAAATAATACAACTTTTGATATGATTTGTATTATGTTAATGACTATAATCCTTTATACATTTTTTTCTCCAAGTTTCGAATGAGAAAGATATTTCAGGGAAGATAATAAGTCACAACTACAAGATAATGCTACCATTTTGCATGTGTATTTGTCAAACACTGTTCCAAGAGCCGCATCTTACCATTGACAGTACTGTAGGTAGAAGGCGAAGAACATGAAGCCCAATGTTGTGATAGACTTTCCGACATAGTACCAGGGTTGTGCCTCCATTAGGCCCCAGTCGTAGACACGTTGTCGTAATTTTTCGAAATTCCTCACGATCTGCGCTTCCTAAATCACGACTGGTAAAAGATAAGTAAAAAAATAACGGTAGAACGCGCTGAGGGTCAGAAATTTTGTGGTTATCCATAACAAGCCTAATCTCACAGTAATCAATCCGGAAAGCTTGTTCGCTGCGGATGCTGGGGCGGGTACAAGGAGGCTGAGTTTGGAGTGGCACCAGCTTCAATTTCCACCAATTGATGGCGCTTGCTCTTCTCAACAACTGATGGGGAATAGGCTGGCGCCGCGAGCACCCTCTCCTTGACAGACCCCAGCATCCGCAGCAATCAAAACTGCGGGTGTTCTGAGACTACAAAGTCCGAGTGCCGTCTCCATACACCGCCTGCACTGCTGCAGAGCCCGCCACACGGCTAACCCTAGCCATACGCACTACTTGCTTACGCCTCTCGCTTCTGGTTGTTTCCTACCGCTGAATGCAAGGGGTGCACAGTGAGGATTCCTCGGGCGGAACATGAGAGTACCAAGTATCACCACTCTCCCGCTCAGTTCTCCTGCACCTCCGAGCGAGGGAAGTACCACGCTACTTGCTGCTGCGGACCCATTCACCTCGTACATGGAAGCGACCGTATTTGAGGGTGAGTGTATCATTTGCCTTTCAATGCAGCGCATGTGAGAACACCGGCTCCAGCAGAATGGCACCCCTATATCAAGTTTGTCGAGACTCATGCACTAAAAGCTTTGGCAAAACCACCAGATGCCCTGCTTCTAGTAGAGTAATCGGGCGCGCAACTTCTGGAAAGTATTATATTTCGGTTTTCTTTCCTAGAACAATTTGTTCGTAAGTATTGATAAGGGCTTTCTTCCCAATCTAAAGCCTAGTGAAACTATCAACTGCCAGGTTTCAGCGCACCTCCTAAAAAAATTGACGTCTGTCGACTTCTAGACGTGTTTTCATCAATTTTGCAACTAGACTGTTTCCTTACCTCCTCAATGGAAATGTCGTAGGTGGAAACGTTGACATCGGCCTTGTCCATACGTAATCTGAGTGCCTCTTCAAGATCTTCCGAAGGGTCCCATGCACTCTTTTTCAATGTCTTAAAAAGTTTTCGAGAGGGTTGGAATAAAAAAATAGAAAATAACTTCGACTAATACTAGTCCCCACTAAACAAAGAAAAATAAGGATTAAAGTATTTCGAAAACCGAGTTGGTTCGTCCCAACTTCTCACCAAACGAACTTTTGCTAGGTCATGAAGCTCAGCATTAACTTGCAAAATCTGCGGAACTCCTTGAAAAATAGTTTGACAAATAATAGAAAATTACTTCTAATTGCTTGAATGCCTTCTTTGATCCCTCATGAAATGCCTGGAATATTTGAGTAGCATCTGAATTCCTGAAAAAATTGTTTTTTAAGTGTTCTTTTTTTGAAGTAACAATCGACCTTCTATGAAACCGGATTAAGGAAGTTCAGATAACGACATTGATGTAAAGCTGTACAACTAACGCATATTGTCGTATAACAGCTCCTCCAGGATGATTTCGTATTGTTTCCTCATTAATGTGCAACCATTTGTCATCTATCTAAAGAAAAATTCCCATAGTTGCCATTAAATCATAATTGCTGAGGTAGAACATTATGCTAAAATAACTCGAAAGGCAGCTTAAAAATTAGAAAAAAATAAGAAAATTAGCTGAAGAATGAAAAATGTTTCGCTATCATAGGTGAAAGCCGCACCATCTTCCTCCCAGCTCACCATTTTTAAGGAGCGGTGGAGGATGGAGAGAGGGTCTTCGGGTCAGGTAGCCCATTCTAAAAATGGTTTGCTGCATACTGTGGAGCTATATTGGACCACAAAATTGTATCCTCTTTTGGCTGTGCGCTCACAGGAATGACAAGAGGGGGCGAAAAGAAGTTTTACGATTCCACGACAAACTCGGCGATAGAAAGTCTAGAAGAGGTAGAAAGGATGTGATTTTTGGGCAAGAGGTTCGAGTGTTTTTGGGCACGTTTTTGGTTAGACAAAGGATCCGACCAATTTGATCAGAAGAAAATAAAAATTGCAAGAATGCAAGGTTTTGTCACCTAGGGGATTCGAACCATCAGCCTGAGGTTCACCCTTGCTTTGGCCTTCCCAGAAGCACCAGGGGAAATGACTGTATTTCTGTGGTCCCTCCCCATGGACCTCTACAACATGCAAAAGACCGACAAATGCGACCTGGAAGAGCC